GAAGAATTATCGTTGAGCTTTTAAAAGATAATCTTATATATTAATGCAGTACTTAAATGCAATGATCGTTTTGAGTCCTATCACATTCTGCAGCAGTATTCCTCGCTAAAAGAAATCTCCGCCAACGGTGAACCAGTTGGTAATCAACAGGGCCAAGGGGGGAAAGAAGGTCCCGTGCAAATGAAAACCCAGATCAAACGGCAGCCAAGAGAGCTTCCAATGCTGATAATATGCAAAGACCTAGAGACTCTCAAACTCCTGAACAAGCCAAAGGCCCAATCAAGAGACTTCAGCAGTAGCTAGCTTAAATGACACCCGATAGGTCGGCTTTTAAATTAGTATAAAATATATTTCAATATAAAGATGTATTATTTACACTATTTACTTCGGGCTATTTTCCTCTACTTCGTTGTTGTTATCAAAGCGTTTCAGACGTTGGCCCCACCTGCCTTCATCGGGTTATATCGATCTGGTTAACCAATACGGAATTCTGAATTGAACCCTTTATTTAATCTACGGGAGTAGACATTTCTTGTTTCACTGCCCATGTCTAAGAATGGTTGCTGAAGACATTAGGTTTATAATACCCAGAAATTCATACCCAGATGTCCTCAAGGGCACATGGCACACTGGATAAAGGCGTTGGTTAGATCCAGTGACAGGACCCAAAGAGTGTGAGTTCAGTGGACTGTCATCCATCAAACATAGCACGTGGAACTAGAACAGCCTACCCCAGTGAGCGAAATATAGGGTTCAGTTCGAAATTCCAATCACCTGAAGAAGGCCAAAAAGTTATGATAAATATGGCGACAAAGATGAGGACAATAGTCCAAATAATGTACATAATACCTCATCTCAGAAATATAGACAGACTCTGAATATCTTGTCTAATTTTTATTTTTTTATGGCATTGCTCGGGTATTACACACGGCTCAACCTAGGTATATTTTAGGACTAGCTCGCTCGTTTCCACTGAGTACGACAGACCCGGGGATTCAAAATGACTATGTCATCAAACTCACGAACCAACATTTTAATTCACTCGGCTACTCTCCTACGGGACATGGACAGTTGATCGGGAGCACACTATCCTTGTAGATTAAATAAATACTTAAATTCAGAATTTCATATATGTTACCCCGATCGATATAAACCTGATGAATACCGTAGGGGCAGGGGTCGGGAACCTTTTACTGATTATGTGCCGACTTAGGGTTTTAAAATCATTCAGCATACGTATTTTTATACAAGTCAAGGTCAATATACATGTTCTACAATATATTTTATATAGTAATACATACGATAATATGTAAACTACATTACTATAAAGAAACTGCTTTTAAAAAAATTCTTTTTAAGATTTTATTATTAATAGAAGTCCAACGAGTGAGCAATTTTGAAACAGCTTATATATCTTATTTGTATTGTAGTAGTTATTTGTTCGGACTTCGTGATGTTATTTGCGGAAGCCTGCCATTGGAAATTGCTTCGTGTGCCACGTGTGGCACGCGTGCTGTAGGTTGGCGACTCCTGCCATAGGGTACAGCGGGCGAAACCCGATAACAACAACAATGATGAAGACAATATTTCGAAGATAAATAGTGAAAATAATGATAATTCGTCATCACAGAATTATCAGGCAAAAAATAGAGACATTAAGACTGTATAAAATATTTAATATCCGTACAAAAACAATAATGATTACGCAAAAAATGAGATTTTTTTTTTCGGTCGCTTTAAACTGTATATCAATTTAGAAAAATTCAAACTTTAAACCCTACAAAAAATGCCAGGATATAAACAACAAAATCTTGATAATCACATTGACAACACATTTAGTCGTGTTCTCCTATTTAGAGATTCTTGATAAAATCCAAAGAAGAATCTGCAATGTTATTGTTCCTGACCTGGCATCTCGGCTCCAGGCCCTTTCCCACCACCGCAAAGTAGCTATCCTGTGCCTTTTCTATAAATATTTTCGTGGTAATTATTCTGATAAACTTTCCGCTATGATATCTAGACTTTATATATTTAAGCACTGTACTAGATTATCGGCAAGGTCTCATTTTACAGTTGAAATAGATGTAACCGTAAGTTCTACGATAAAAGTTTATTTTCTCGCACTTCTCGCTTGTGGAACTGTGTTCCCAGTCAAGTTTACTCTTCAAAAATTTAAATGTAATGTCAATTGTTATCGTCTCTCAACTTATTTCTTGTTCTTATATTGTCCTCTCTCCTTAATAGTAGTTTTTCTCATACTGCGTCTTGGTGGCTTTAATGCCTTTCTTGGGGTGAACTTATTAAAAAAAAACATTGTTCTTCATAATGACTGAGAATAGGAAATTTACTTCAGCCAACAGAACAAATGTTTACTTTGCATAGCTTAACCACAATTTTGATCACCTTATACAAAATCTTCTTCGAAAACTTGAAAAATTTTAAATATTTATCGACTGAATTTATTACTTCTTTGAATGAATATACATTATTTAGATCTTTATTGATGTTCGTGGCATTTATGCATAGTTACATATAAATCTAATCTTATATATCGATTTTTACAGATTACCCAAATATGTTTTGCCATCACATCTCTACTATGAACCTTTCGTATTCGACATTCGGCTGTTTGGTTGAAAGAATGTTGTTTTTAAATTTTGGGCCGGACTGGAACATTGCTCTTCAAAGATTATAGGTTTGTATTTTTCTCATGTGATTTGTCATGGCATATTTGGAAATATAGTAATACTAGCAGCATGGTCAGGCGTTGCTTGATTCAAAAATCGTACGGCTCATACAGCAATCGCTATCACTTGAATTAAAATATTTTTTGCCCTTCCTTGTCTTTAAAGGAGTGCCCTTTTCCGTGCTGATGTTGCTACATGCCTTACGTCTTGCCTATCTCACACTGCCATTTTTTTCTAAGCTCTATACTAAACATTAAATCTGTTACGAAAAAAGAACTAAACAAAATGAACACAAAACGATCAGCTTTAAAAAAAGACCCGTAACTGGAAAAACCGAATGGAAAAAGAATGTTAACAACAAATACATTTTCACACTTAACCCAGTTCTGCAGAATCAGAATCAACGTTGAGTTTAAGCAAGCGAATGAGCGATATTTTTGCATGCTAGCATGCTAGTTAACATTCGTGTCAGTCAGCTGTTTGCTCTCGCGCTGGCCAGTAGAATCTTCCTACCTATTCGTGGCAGCCAGCTATAGGCTCTCACTCTGGCCAGTACAAAATAGCTGCAAGCTACATGAAAACTGCCGTAAAAGCATGAAAATGTCGATTATTTCCACTATCGATGGGAGTTGGGAAATGCAAAGTCGGTCTTGGCCTTCGCGCTAACTTGGAGCATGTGCATGTAAATTTTGGTGCAAATTCGTCGAAAATTACAGACGTGCAATCGTTACACACACACACACACACACACACACACACACACACACACACACACACACACACACACACACACGCACACACACACGCATCCTGCCTTTTATAGATAGAGATTTGCCATGGCATCTTTGGAAATTTTGTTATATGGTCTCCAATTAATACGTTTATGAAGGTAGTTTTATCATTCTCTTTCACTAAATTCTCTTAGATTGCCACTCAAAATTAAGATACCTACGCTACTGTTCAAATGTTTGAGGAGACCCCTGATAAGTTTTTAAATTAGTCCCAAAAGTAGTTTTCTACTTTAAGTAAGATAAAATCATTATATGTGGTTAAAAAAGTGATACATTAATTTTTTTATTGGATATTTTATTATGACAAAAAAAAAAAAGCATTTCATGATTAAATTTTGTTCTTGTAAAAATATCTTCTTTCAGCCCTGATTACTGCATCACGCATTTTTGGTATTCGTTGCAAAAGTTTCTCAAAGCATAAGTTTGATAATTGATTCCATACTTTCTTCAATGACCCTAAGAGCTCTTTTCCATTTTTTTTATTATTCATTTGTCCAGTTCATCCCATGCTAATACTGAAGGTGTCTTGAAACTTTTGAACCGTAGTGTAAGTCGATATTGCTAATTAACTTATGGCTGAGGGGATTTGAGAAAGATACATATAATTCGAAACAACATTTATGCGAAAACGGTTGCAGCAGACGAGGCGATAATTTTAGCTTGGTTCTCCGATTCCACTTACAGCAACGATAGTTGTTAAGATTCTTACATATTCATACCCAATAATAATATGATGAACGTGTGTTCCCTCAGGGTGGCTCCATGCCTTGAGCACCTATGGGGACTTAAACTCAACCCAGACATCAAATGGAATTCATGCATACGATACATCGCTAAAAAGTCTGGAAATATATGGCCGATTCCCTGTACCGCTCTAGTAGGTACCTGAGTTCAAGCGCTCTCCTCTACTTTTACAAGAGCCAGATCAGAGCAAAAATGGAGTACTGCTGCCATATATGAGTCGGAGCTGACCACTCTTTATTTTCCCCTCTCCAAAAGCGTCTTTGCGTCCTTGTGGGTGACAAATTATTTAACATTCTACAACCTTTCTCACAGACGAAATGTTCCCGGGTTCTTGCTACTATAACGTTATTTTCGTGGAAAGTGTTCCAAACTACATTCCTTAATTCGCCTAGGTTTTACCTTCACAGCTAAAAGTCGCCATGATATCGAAGCGAATCCTTTTTATTCCCTTCGTATTCCTTTGGTTAAATGTAGGTCCCACTCGAGCAGCTTCTTCCCACGGTAGGTGCTTCCCTGATTACGACAATCTTAACCTGTACATATTAACCGTTATCTTACACACATATCCTGTTACTTTGTAAACCCTCTACCTTGAATGGATCTTGGGCCTTGTACTGTGTTAACATCATTGTAAAAAAGAAAATATTGTCGATGGTTATCAGATGAGTTATATGTTTGTGGGTAAAGAAGAAATCAAAGAACAACATTTACGTCGTCCGCATGGGCAGGGATGAGATGTAGTGAGTGTAAAAGACGAAGAAAGAAAGAAAGATTTAGGTTAGGAAGTTGTTTGTGGGTGGAAGGTAGGGTGTGGGGAGGATGGTTGTAGCAGTAGTGTTGTTTGTTGGGACGGCTTCACCGAAAAAGCAAGCGGCGCAGTGTGCGATAAAGGTGGAGGGGGTTTGTCAACGTGCGCCGACCACAGAAGCAAATCAGGGGTAAAAAGACACCTGCGCCGCGGTGGGATCGTCTGTAACGAAAAAAAAAAAATTATATAAAAATAAATAAATAAAAATAATAAAGCTTCATTGCAGCAATCGCTTTTCCAAACCGATGACTTTTACATTCGAAAGCAAGTGGGCAAGAGACAGGCGAACGGGAGGGTGGCCATGAGGTTGGAAGTAAAACAGAAAGGATTTTAGGGAAGAGGGGGGGAGTGAGAGAGATAGGGTGAGGGTGAGGAACTCGCATGAAAAAGAACTGTGTAGGAGGCGGTGGTATACGAGGTGGCAGTGGCAGAAATCTAAAAACGGGAGTTGTTTCGTTAGAATGAATAACGTGGAGTAGGGCTGTATATATAATACTCTGAACCCCTATATGAACGAATTAAATAGTGTAAAAAATGAACGTTGTTGTAGTATTAGCTTTTTTTTTTTTTTTACTAATGTTTGTCAAATACAAGGCCCAAGAGCCACTGAAGTTAGAGGATTAATATATGATGTTCTATGGGTTATGGTAATGTTGCTGATGAAGATGAACATATCTACTAATATTAATATGAAAACATCAACAACAAATTCCTCATTTTAATATTTACTAGCACCAGCTTAAAATCAAAATACAATTATGAACGACGAAAGTGATATAACACACACACAATGTTAGCAAATGAAATTACAGAAATGATGCTAAATTATAAGCCATTTTTTTTTATTTGATATCACTTCATGACGTAAGAACACATACTCTCCAAGGATTCTTTTTTTTTTTCATCTGTGAATTGATATGCATTCTCAAGAAATATAATGAAATGTTTTCCCCTTACCTTCTCCTAAGTTTGGAATTCAAAGTTCTCTTAGACTGGTTGCCACCCAAGACTAACCTGCTATTTACATCATTCTGGGAAGAAGAGATAAATTCTTGCCTTTACCGAAGTCAATAGTGCACAACTGAACGAAGCTGACTAACTGGGAGTTTAAAGCCGAGTCTGTTTTCCATTAAGCTACTAGTGTACCTAGAACCGTTTTTTCATAATTGCATTGACTCATTTTTCCGATCATTTCACCCCCGAGCAAATCTAAACTTAATGCCACTAAGACGCAAGCGGTCAATGAGAATGAAAGAGATTGAGAATACTTTATTGAGAAGAGGAGAAAAGACAATAAAAGAACGGGTTTGAAGAAGATTGAAGATTGCGAAGTACGTTGCATTTACTTTTTTGAATATTCTAGGTGACAGGGAAGCAAGAAATCGGAAAGAAATTTTTCCACAGTTGAAAAAAGCGAGAAAAACTATTAGAATATAATTTCCGGTTACATTTACTTAATTCAATAATAAAACTATGAAACCTAATTGCCACTTTCATAGCACGCTTAGATTCATATGATCGAGGTACGAAGGCCCAAAGCTCATCAGAACAACTTTCGTGAAAAATATTTATAGAAGGGACAGAGGGAATTCATTTCATGGTTTTTGAAAAGTGACTGAATTCGAGGTCCCAAGCCAGGACCGATTACATTACAGACTCGTGTTTGGATTTTACCGAGAATCCTGAAATACAGAACTGGTGCACTCGACCACATATTTCAGTAATATTAAATTCGTGGACGAATGGTTGAATTATAAAAGTATAAGATGAATTTTATGATAAGATACTGTTTAACCGATTCCTAATACACTTGTGGAAGACGGGGTGTCAAGATTTTCTAAATTACTAAGGGTCCTGAATTTTAAAAACTTTTTTTATATACCATCACCCTCCAGGCCTTGGGCAACCATGACTCTCAGAAACATACTTACTTTTTTTTTCTTGTTCTGCCATTCATTTGCACAAACTACTTAAGTACTTTATTTGTTCTTTCTATCTGTCCATCTTGCTTTTAACATGCTCTGTAATTATAAAAAAATTTCCAAACCTTTTCTTAGATATTTACCCAAGAAATGTCAAGCGTCTCTTTCTGATTGAAATTACAATAGACGTTTTTGTTTTCATTTCCATCAAACTTCTTTTTGGCTCAGATATTTTGTTCATAGAATTAACAACATCCTCCTGTAGAACTGCATATCCACAACATCCTATCGTTTGTTGTTTTAAGCAATTTCTGTTCCATGTCTGTCCCAGTTCTTTTCTCTATCGGTCACCCTTCTGCCATTCTTATACAGAAACTCGTCATTTAGGTCCCTTGCTATTTCCCTCTTGTGGGCGTCAAATTCTCTATGCCTTCTTTAGTAATTATGTGTCGCAGAAACTTTAACTGTCTCTTCCTGATTCTAAACACAAGTGTTTTTTGTGTTTCAAGTTTCCTTAAAACTTCTTCGTTGCCCACATGTTCCGTCTGTGGTATTTTCATCAGCCATCTAAAGAAAAACATATCCGTTGTCCCAAATCGTATCTTCTTTTCTGACACAGGAAGAAACCTGTCATGTCAGTGACAGTTCGAATCTGCCAAACGCGTGATCAATTTGACTGTCTGAATAATAATTTTTCTGGGGCTTATCAGCCATTTGCTGGTTATTTAAAGCCTGAAAATTCTTTTAGAATTTTTCTTTTGGTATAAAAATGGTTTAGTCATAAAAGTCTCATACATTTAATTGGTGGATTCATGCCTTTCCCAAGCGAATCTGCGCGTAAGTGGATATAACGAATCCAGCTGGAATTGGAACTCGGCTCTCTGATTAAAAATTCCGAGTCATTATCCATTACACCACAAGCACATCCAAGCTTACAGCACCTGGTATTCCCAAACGGTCACCCATCTAGTTAATGACCAGGTTTGATGTTCCTTAACTTCGGTACGGGAAGCGGTGTTTCAACAGGATGTGACCGTGAAACCAAAACAAATGAAAAACAACTTAGCATTATTATTATCGTTGTTATTTGAATAGTGTTTTTTTTTTTTTTTTTCTTAATGGCAGATCATCTCATTCTATTTTCGGTTTTGTATATTTTGAAAGCGTGTCATACTTTGATGAGACGATTTTCCCTGACGTGGTGTTCTTATCTTTTAGAGAGCACATTTTACACCGGGCTTGGTTTGTTGGTCACGTGTAAGCAAAAAGGAATTCTTAAAGAAAATGGCAACAAAAAAAAACAAAAACGCTGCTCTGAATAAAGAAAAAAAAACAGTTGAGATTCCTTGAACATATAATGAGAAAGAAGGGCTTGGAAAACATAATCCTCACGGGATATATTAGGAGTAAGAGAGATAGCAAGCCTGACGAGTTTGCGTGAATGGGTGGCGGAACGGCGAGGGGAATTAGCCTTAACAACTGCTAAAGGATACAAGAGACAGGAAGTGGAAATCCACGATCCCCAATGTCTTGAAAGGACACGGCACATAGAAGAAGTCGATGGTATGTATGCTCTCATTTTTACTTTCGACAATTCTGGTTGTTTGTGTCCATACCATTTTTTCTGCCTGTGAATGACTATAATAATGGCATATCTTCGAAATCAGGTATTTCCCACTTTATAGCTAGATATAAATATTTTTGGAACTAGCGTAGAGTACTGTATATTAAATCATTATATTTTGTCTATATTTCTGAGATTAGGTGTGTAACTATTTATATAATTTACATTGGTCAGACTGTTGTCCTCATCTGTATTGCCATATTTACGACTTTTCGGGCATTGTACGCTCCGACCTTCTGCAGGTGATATACCTTGGGATTTCGAGCCGAACTCTTTATTTATTCCATGGCGGGGAGATTGTTCTAATTCTATATACTATCCTCTTTTTTGGATATCACATTATCAGTTAACTTTCCAAGTTTTTGTTCCCTGGCCAGGTCCAGTGACGTTTTGGATTACTCAACAACGCTTTTATCCACTGAACCAAATGTCCTTGAGGACATTATCTCAGTATTTTTTTTTTACCAGAGCTGATATTACAATTTCTGTTATTGCTATTTTTCTCCATATTTTATGATTTCAAATCACAACACTGAATTTTCCTCAGTATCAGAATTTTGAGTTTTCAATGAAAATCGTTCGAATGTGTGTTTTTCTTTTCATTTGTTTTCCAGGTTAGATAAAAACTTAATTTTTCTTTTGATATATCACCTTGTTTCATTTTGTTTATGCAATTATTGACCTTCTTTAATTTTTGGCTTTTTGTTGATTTAATGCTGGTTAATAAAATATAACTTTCATGACATCGTAGTTTTATAAGGCCAAGATGGGACTGCCCTCTACCCACGCCTCGGTAGGTAGAGTCGTTTTGTTTTGCTTTGATGTGGTTCATATAAGATATAATGAGATTTTTTTATCCTTCTGTCAATTCGTCGGAACTCTTCTACATTCCATATTCTCATATTGAAAATTAATATCAGACAATGCTAATTTATTAATAGGTTAAAATTCCCTTTTTTAATTTAATTCAGTATAACTTACAAGCTAAAATAGTACTATCTAAACTTCTTATTCCCATTATTATTATTATTATTATTATAAAATGATTGACGTAACACTACCAATGTTTTGCAACACTTAGAGAAGAGCCCGATTTAAGAAAGAAACATTGTTCTAGAATATTTCGACAATATGTTTTTCTTCAAGTTATGTTTAAAAATTGCATGCGAGTATAAAATATATATTTTAAAAATACACGTCTTTTTACAAAATTATGCATGTTTTTAGATTTTTGTTTTTCTTACAAACGTCAATTGTTTTCTGTCGCTTGTACTGATAAACAATGCGACAAAGCGAGTGAAAATCATCTAGCGTGAATGGAAGACAACCGAAACGTGAGTAATATGATAGGGGGTGAGTTCATCTTGACATTTTCTCTTCTTAGTTAAATTCTTAGTAGTATTAATCAAATAGTTATTATTATTATTATTATTATATTTCGATTTCTGCTATGGTCACACTGCGCAAAAACCTTAGGCAAGCAGTGGTGTGTAGTTATGACTACATTTCACAATTTGATTTTCTAAAAGCCATAACATCACTAGTGTTACATGGACAAAGTTCTTCTTCGTGTGTGGGTTGTGCTTATCAAGACAATTTCTTGTATTTCGCTAAAGCTGGGATTTCCAGAGAGTTTTTCAATGTGTTGTTGTGTTCCTTTTTTAAAATTCCAAGCATCTACTATGACCTCTACTGCTCCTGTTTTCAATTTCCACCTTTTTTTCCTATTTCGATTTCCAGGTCTTTATACTTCGATTATTATTATCATTATTATTATTATTATTATTGAATGAGAACAGGATGTGTTACCGAGGTACAAATATATGAACCCCAATACAGACACACAGTCTGATAAGGGTATATCAGGGGGCATGTACCACAGCCAAATA